TTAAAATTCGCGATATATTATCCATTCGACGCTGAAACTCTAGATGGGGTGTATTATAATATTTTCAGCTCCGATTGAATAAAAACAACACTATATAAACAACTGCGCAACATTTACAATTCGCGATATATTATCCATTCAATGTTGAAACGGTACGGCAGTGTATGCAACAAAGTAAGGACACACACATATATATATATATATTATTCGCACAAAGGGTTGCAAGTTGATCGTATCCTGAAACAGGACACCCCTTTTGCGTTGCACGGGGACATCGTGTACGGCACGAGGCACACTCGGCCTAAGAGCCATGAACTCGAATCACCCTTGATACCCGTGGAACTCGGTTCCATCGTATCCAGTTACGACGTTCCGGTGTACACGTGCCTATTGTCGTTCTCTGCTTCACCTGACACGTGGCAATTTTCAATTCAACGGTCCGCATGACGTGGACTGCTTGACTTTTTGATGCAACACTTGACAGGAAGTCGAGCATCGTTTGAACCCGCTCTTTACAAGTGCGTCTACTTTTATTTTCTCTCCAATTAAGAAACGCGATCTATCGAACCGAATGTTCCGGAATAGGACAGTTCGATTTTGAATGATTTACGAATAGGCGAACAAGTCTGTCGTCTATGTTCAGTATGGAGTAAAATTGAATCAATCAGAATTTGCAAATTGAAGGACGAAGTTTCTACTATTTAATTATTATCACTGGTAGGTGTATTCTTAAACAATTTTTGTATTTATTTCTGTACTGACCAAAAATGTGATTCTAGTAGAATCATTTTATTTAGTCTAGTAATGTGTTCGACTGACAGTTTAATCACGCGAGCCTTCGTGAAACAGTCAGTGACTATTGTTTTTCGTAACACAGACGTTTCAATGGATATTTCTGATTGTCTATTTACAGATATTGGGATTTCGAAATGACACCTTATTTTTATTAAAATAAAATATCGTCTATGTACCTTCTCGGGATGCAATCCATCTCCTTGACAAATTTTGTAGAAAATTGTTCTACGGTTTAGGCGTGAAACGGTAACAGATAGACAGGCAGAGTTACTTTCGGGTCATTCCACGCTAAATCGATCACCTGTTTTGGTCCAAATGAAATATATTGTAGTTTAAATGAAATTAGGGGAGGTTTAAGTCATCATTTTGCTCGTTTCGAAACCGTTGGAGAAATACAACCTTTCTAATATTGTGACTTTGGATCATTTTCGTGAAAATGGGTCGTACATTTGAATTTTTTTCTCTGGAACTGTTCATTCTATTGACCTCCGTTTCGTTTAGTTTTAATCGGGAGGGATTGCTCTTCATGAATATATTTTTATTTGAAGCAGATCTGATTTTTGCAATATTAAAAAATAATAGATAAAGTTTTATTTTGCAAATACCATCTCGAGGTCACGTTTTTAAAAATCCAACAAAATTATTGTTGCATTCCTTGAAGTTTTCTCTACAAAATAGCTAAGTTTCATTCTGGTGACACGCCAAGTAAGACCGCAATAAAATTTCGAATACAGGTAGACAGCGAATTGCATGGCCTGGCCACCTGATGTAGTACGAGGCAGCTGTCTTTAACATTTCATTACGACGCTAATCGAAGAACACCAGAATAGAACTTAACTATTTTGTAGAGAAAACTTCAAGGAATACGATGATAATTTTTTTGGATTTTTAAAAACGTGATCTCGAAGGGGTATTTGCAAAATAAGAATTCATTTACAATGTTTAATATGGCAAAAATCAGATCTGCTCCAAATAAAAATATATTCAGGAAGAGCAATCCCTCCTAATTAAAATAAAAAAGATATTGACAGGATGAATAATACCAGAGAAAGAAATTCAAATGTACAACACATTTTTACGAAAATGGGGAGAAATCGCAATATTTGAAGGCTTGTATTTCTCAAACGGTTTCGAAACGAGCAAAATGATGACTTAAACCTCCCCTAATTTCACTTAAACTACTGTACAATATATTTCATTTGGAACAAAATCCGAGACATCGACCAAAACAAGTGATCGATTCGGCGTAGACTAACCCTTTCGCATTTATAATATTATAGTACGGATTCTTTTGTTTACTTTATGACAAAATTGTACTCCATCGAATATATATTTATAAATATGAAGAGAAAGTATTTACATCTTACTAAAATCACCGTTAGTCATTTGTTTTTAAAGTGGACTTATTCCATTTTCAAATATAACAACTCAATCACACCAAACATTCGAATATAAGACATACCCTGTCATTTTATCCGGCTCTGTATGTGAGTCAACTTTTGACAAATCAATTTTTCTTTCTATTTCAGAACACCTTCACCTGCGGGCCAAAGAGTAGAGTGCATTGCGTGCCCTGTTATCAAGAAGTGCCTTGAATCCGCTCCATCGTCTTCCCGACTACTCTCGCACTCTGCCTGGCGTTCGGAAAAATTCACAAAATGTACCATATCACCTGGATAGGTCGACGAAATGCACTGTATTTACAAATAAAAATGACATTCCTGGAATAGAAATCGAGTCCTGTTCCTCGCAGTCTGTCCCTCGGGACCGATGCGCTTTCGTGGAAAATCGGATCGGCACGGTTTTGCTTCTCTGTTCGTATCGTAAATATTTACTTTGGAGCGTGCGTTACAGCAGCAAGACGCTTTTAATAAAATCGAGTTCTCCGTGACGAGGATGGTCCGAGGATGGAGGCTGAGTATAAAAGCGTAGGTACAGTTTCTGGATTCGAAAGAGTGGGTCAAGTGATATCGACCATGCAGGAGCAGAAGAGGTATAGGAAGGTTTGGTTTCGCGATTCACTCCTGCAAGCATCTTTGTCTACCTTCAACGAGCTGCTATATTTGCTCTTCTACATTGTGTCGTTCGTCAAGGGAAGCTAAGGTGGATCCGTTGTATTTGTCCGCACTTTCTGTTGGCCTATGGCAAACGTGTAAGAGGCGCAATTCATTGCCCAACCATTGAAAGATATTTTTCTAGTCGCGTCATTTTCGTTTCGGACGTCAGCGTTGCTGAACGGTTCAACGTGTGATCTTACGTAATGGCATGCACGCACTCAATACGGCGAGTAAAGGTCTATTAGGTTGTATTAGGTTGTCCCCAAAGTTTCTTTCGTTTTATTAATAATTAATATATACACAATACTTTATGTTTTACGTTACGTTACTGAATTGGGTACGATTCATTTCGCTTCGTTACTGCTACAGCATCAACGTCTAAGAAATTAGATTGTCTATTTATATAAACACTGCCACAGAAAATAATTGAATGCAACTCACGAAAGAAACTTTTGGGACGATCTAATACATACCATATGTGCCAGGTACTGACATCACACGTTAATTGGGACAATTATACGGATTGTGCGACGGCATCTTTATTTTTTATTATATACATGCGGAGGTGAATACAGTTTCGAGTAGAAAGTTGTAGCAATTACTGCTATGTAAGAATATTGTAATTAATCCTTCGATTGCGAAGGGCGTGTATGTACGTCCTCGAGAAATGGACTCAGAGAAATGTTTGCATTCGTTAAATCAATTTAAAAAAAGTATCACCTTATAGGGGACGATGAGAAGAAACTTTTTTATTTTTACAGTTTATTCATAGGACGCTTAGTTTCGAAAATAAAAATTGGAAAGTTAGGAGTTCGTTGGAAAAATTGAATTTTAGGAAAAAGATCTTGTAAGTTTTCAATTTGTATCTCTGAAACTAAACGTCGTATAAATAAAATGTATATATAAAAAAAGGTTCGTTTTATCATTCTCTATAAGGTGATTTTTTTTTTAAATTCGAATGTTCGACTGTTGTTTTTTTTTTTCTTTAAGCAAACAAGAACAGACCATTAAGAGATTTCATGCAAGAAGTTTTTTAAGTTTTTAATTTTTATTTTTGAAACTAAACATTCTATGAATAATCTGTACATATAAAAAAGATGTCTACTTCTTACGAATACTTCTTACACTGACTGACTCTATATTGGTGCTATACTTATGCAATAAGTGAAAATCACTATTTTGATTGTCTCATGTTGCACATAAGAGCAACTTTAAAAAGATCAATATCAAACGCATTATTTGTCATATCCTCTCAGCCCATACAACTCACCTTTTTTCATTTCCACTGAAAACACTGAAAAATTTCAAAATGTAATTGATGGTATATTTATGCAATAATTTAAAATCACTTGTTCGATTGTCTCATGTCGCATATAAGAGCACCTTT